ATCAAGATGTTGTTAATAAACACACTTTAACGGGTTCCTGGATTAGAAAATGGTGACCATTACATCCCAAGGAGAGGCTTGCATTCATTTTGAAATACTTTAAACCATTTGGGCTTTTCTAGCTATATTAGAAGCAGGAGAAGCCGGGAGGGACAGATGCTCGTCGCTTTTAGATGGTAAAGATGGTTCCCCAGCTTTCTGCCCTACTGATGTGGTCCAGTTATCACACTGGATGGTGGATTCCTTTCCTCCTCTGGCTGCATCTCTAATTAATACCTTCAGCAAGCCCTGCGCTGGCAGAGCTGGTTTCAGGAGGCAGTTTGAGTGTGCAGAGCTCCAGCACAATCTGCCCTGTTTGACTCCAAGATATCCAAGTATGTATCATTTTTTATCCTTTCTTCAACTTCTCTAAAGTCAGCTGTAGATGGGATTTCTTAAAGAACGTCAGAGACTGCTCAGCTGAACTCTTTTGATTAGTTTCGCTTATTTTTGTAATTTGAACTGAAATTTCCTGCTATCTTTTCCAGTGAGTGAGAATTTTGTCAAAAAGGAGATTTCTAAAGACTTCGCTTGCTCTTTTAACTCGCATCAGAGTCACTGGTGCGATTTCAAGGGTAGTGGGAACCAGAAGGTCTCGGTTTCTATCACTTTCCCCTTCATTACAGCCGAAAACATAATAACTGAAGGCTGCTCTTCAGTTTCTGAAGGCACCACAGCTATTGCCTAGATTTCTCCATCCATCCATCCTTTGTATCCTGGGAACCTGTGCTTTGGTAGGGAGAAGTTTCTCATCAAAGAAACCCTTGCTGGGTGCTGCTGCTGCTCCTTGTGTGGCTTGTCCCAGTTCCCAGGATTACAGCTATCGCTTCCTAATTGCTCTCTCGATACTGGAACTCGAACTGGGTTAGAGACCAAAGCTGCTCCCAGCTGTTTCTTCTCAATTAAGTGACTAAAGGCACTCCCAGCTCCTTAAGTGCAGTGTGAACCCAAGTGTTACCTGCCTTAGAGCGACCTCAAATCTGGTCAAAATCTCATTAGCCCCCACGGGTTTGATTTCTGCTAGAAAAGATGCGGCTTATTTTCATGTATGTCACGAGTGAGATGAGCCTCAGAGGCTGAGTGCCATTTACTTACAGAAAAAGAGGTGCTTTTGGGGGGCTTTTGCACCTAATGTCATGTAATCACACATATATGGAACTATTATTCTTGAGTTGCCAGTTTCAGTTGCTGCCAGGTATCTAAGGATCTTAATTGAAATGATAATTTATGAAGTTTTTATAACACCTACAAAATTTTTTGCCTTTGGGGGGTCATTCCTGGTGATTCTTATTCTGGAAGCTTTTCAGAATGTCCAAAGGAAATGAGCTTTGTGGAATTACATTTGTCAGTACCTCTTTCTCCCCGAGTCGCTTTTCAACCTGTTTGCCGTGTTCATCAGCATCTCAGAGAAATTCCAATGATTTGGAGGGATTGTGGAGCAGAAACACTTACAGGCATCTTTGAATTTACTGCGGAACTAGGTGAGGAATACGGGATGCAAATCTTCCGGAAACAACCTTTTAAAATTCTACAGCTTGTAAAGCAATTTGTAAATTTTACTGCCATCCCTGGTTTCACCATTAGTGAAAATAAAGATGGGCTTTTCTCAGCGTAACATTAATTAAGTTGGGTTATAGCAACTCTAAGGGAAGGGAAAATGTCTACATTTAGCCCCATTGTTACCACTTTGCTCTTGCTGCCGTTCCCAGCAGGGGCTGGAGAGTGCTTATTCCAGGCTGGCTAATTAAGGAATGACAGCTGCTTGGAAATATCATTCTGCTTTTGCAAGAGCTGTGAGCAACTTAACGAGAATTTCTGGGGGAGACAAAAAAAAAAAAAAAAAAAAAAAAGAATAGAGCTTATAAAGAGGATTAATTGACGATATTTAGAAGCTGGGCTTCTGCTGCGAGAAGCTGCTGGGCTCCTGGGGTTGTGGAGGTGAAAAATCCAGCCTGTTATTTCAGAGTCTGCGAGTGCAGGTCAGTCGTAGGGGTTTGTCACTCGATGAGAGGACATCGGTTGAGCTGCAGGGAATCTCTATGGTCCCTTCCAACTCTAAAAAATTCAGTGAAATGCCACTTTAAAGCTCCTTGGGAAAGCTGGAAGGCCAGCACGGGAGCCTGATGGAGAGGGTGGGTGGGGTAAAAAACAAGGTAGAGGGTGAGAGAAGGGAACCAGCGTGACAAAGGGAAGAGTTGGCCTTGTAGATGCCTATCTTCCTTCTTGCACAAGAGCAGGAGGCCTTCCCCAGCGAGGACCAGTGACGCCGGCTGTTAGGAATTTCGAAATTTGTCTTTTGCCAAGTGCTGTGGATGTACGGGACAGACCAGAGTTGGCTAATTGCTTCTTCCAGACAGCAGGACAAGGAGCCACCTAGTCATCTCGTAGGCTTCAGCGCCTTAGAGACACCTTAGAGTCTGTGTATGATGTTTGAAGTCCATTGAGTCAGGATGTACGTGGTCTGGGGAGTCACCCCCCAAATTAAGTGTTAATACAGAAGTAGAGAGACTTTATTAGGAAGAGAAGATATAATAGGGAAAACAAGCTGTATATTTGGGAGTAGAAAGAACCCTCAAGCTCTAAAATATAGTAAGAAAATGTGAAGTGAGTTTAGGATGGGGAAAGAGAGAAAAAGCAATGAACACTGCAGTAGGTACCATTAAATTAACTTAGCTACTTCCCAATTAAATACATAAATATATAGTGTTAAATTTCCAGCTTAAAACTCCATCCATGTAGCCTGCCCTCACATTCATGGCCCAGATGCTGAGAGGTCGTGGAGATAACTCTGCTCCAGGTGGCCCATTTGTGGGTCTGAGACCTGTCCTCTTAGCCAGGACTGTGCTCTGGTGCTCCAAAGGAAGAGGAACAAGTGGAGAAGGGCAGGAGAAATGCAGTTGTCCTACTTTTCCCTTGTATCATGGACAAGCCAAGGATGGAACATCTCCTTGGAGTCTGCTACCCAGTTGTCTGCACAGCAGAGTAAAGTTGAGTAGGTGCACAATGAAGATGTTAAATGGTTAAGATGATGTAAGATGGTGAAATTGATGTGAGGTGGGATTTCTGCTGAACGTGCTGACCCAACCCATCCATGTTTGATGTTCTCACTGAGAGTTTCTGCTCCTTGCTCTCAGCTCACAGGATCAATGCACGGATTTATCCTTGCAAAAGAGGATGAGGTATTCCTTACTCATTTGTAATCACTGTAATGAGTATTTCTACACATTCAAATTTAAAATAAAATTTAAAAAACCCCCGTGTAGTTCCCTGGAGTGATGTTTGCTGGTGTGGGCCAGTTGGGTACCAGGAAGCCTGTGGCTGGTTTGTGCTCCCTCTTGTGGCATCGTGGGCTGGGAGAGCATCCCTCACCCAGCAGTGAGAGTGCTGGTTATAACCCTGGGTAATTATTCCTAACTGGAATGAGCCTCAAGACTATAATTTTGAAAATGCGGGAAGGGTAGTTTACTTTTCCAGTGTTGCTGTTCTGTGTATGTCCACAAACACTAAAATATCTCTGTCTGTGGGGTAACACAAAGCCTTTACTGCTCTGTCCATGCTTGGATTCCTCACTGGCCCTCTCCTGGGCTTGTATTTGTCATCGTTACGTGCGTCATAACCAAGATAAACCTGAGTTTTTCCATCACCCAGTGGACATCGTTTTCCTAATGTGACCTTTTGTCTGTGTTGTGTGGTTTTTCATACCCAACTGCAAGGCAGGATGGGGTTGAGGGTAAACTTGAGCCAAAGCAGTGTAGTCAGGCAGTGGAGGAAGGCTTATGTTTGGGGGTAATATTGCTCATTTTTCAACTTTTCTAGTTTTGGTGCAGTACATCCCTTACGCAAGAAAAAGGAGATGAAGCGGTGAATGCTTTTGGGGTAGAAATGTGTTTTGAAGGGGGGTGGGATATAGTTGTTAAGGGGTTAATCCATCATCTTTGAGGGCAAAAGTGAAGGAATTGTGTGATTAATTCCATCATGTGTTTTACTTGAGCGTGTTGTTCCTCTTTCTGCTGAGACAGCTGATAGAGGGGAAGAAGGCTGAGAGAAATACAGTGTTTTAAGACATTCAGGTTTTCATGATAACCCTCTGCCAGGTGGCCAGTGGCTCATGGCTGTCAATAATGGGGAGGACAGGGCTGGTGGGGTTTAATTAATTTAATTAATGAGCTTTAATTGCCTGGGTTTGGGGTATCAAGGAGTAGATAGGTATGGACAGCAAAGGGGAGCAGGTAATTAAAAAAGCAAAAAGGGAAGAAACGAGGGAAAGATTTTGGAGAAACTGAGGTGAGCTTCAACAGAAACATTTGCAGCTGAATGTTTGGAGAAATTCTTACATTTCTTTCTGGAACTAAAGGGGAGAGAACAGCAGGGAGGGGCTGGTACATGTGGGGAGAGCACTGGAATTAAGTCAGGGTGAAGAAAGATGGTGAGTGCCAGGGGTTACAGGGACAGGCAGTGGCAGGGAATTACTGAGACCTTCTGCAGAGAATGCTCCCTCCTCCTCGTGGTGAGCTAGAAAAAAAAAATACCATATTTTGTTGCATGTAAGTAGTGTAGAGTGATTTTTTTATTATTTTTTTTTCAACAAGACGTAGGCAATTTAACTTTGGCAGAAAGTGCTAGCTGATTACTTTGACAGGTTTAATTACTTTGGCTTGAGTAGGATGAAAGTGAATTTATTTCCCAGTGAGAAAAGCATTGAAAGGCTGCATGAAAACCTGTCAAAGGAAATTGAAGAGGGGTTGGGGAGTTATCTTTACAGTAAATGGAATTGATAAACATGTCAGTTAAGAGGGGAATTTATTTATAATACCCAGGTTTTGCGGCCAGAATTCTTTGATAATTCCATTCACTGGGAAAAAGAATTTTATCTTTTTCATAATGCTTGTAGAGCAAGGAATTGCCATAGAATAAAAAATGGAAGTCATAATTCTTTTTTTTTTTTTTTCTTTTTCCCCTAGAACACGTCAGTAATGGAGGATCAGAATGAAGATGAGTCTCCAAAGAAAAATACCCTATGGCAGGTAGGACTGATACTCGCACAGAGCGGGCGCTGGCATGTTTTGATATGTTCCTGCTTTTGGAAAACTTCCAAATCTTGCCTCTGCGTAATCATCCTTGTGTGTATCTTTACTACGTGTGTAATGTATCCTTGACTGTATCTTCCTAAAATTAGCTCAGCCTTCGAGTGAAGGATGACGCCGATGAATAATGCTTGAGAAATTACTAGATCTTCTCAGATTTTGAGGTTTGTGCCGACCTTGAAAGAAGAATTCTGCGTCAAAGGCTACTCGGGAATGCAGTTCAGCCTTTCTGAGCACGTGACTGTCATCTAAAAGGGAAAATTCAACACCTTCCCATGGCGAGGAGTTGCAACCAGTTTGCTTTGAAGAAGTTTGGGATATTTCAGAGAGCTGACAGTTCCCCTGCAGCCCTCTTGGTCTCCTGAAGGGCTCAGGAGAGCCTGGCATGAATCTTTGGTTCTTTTTACTAATTAGCAATAAGTCCTGGGGTGTTCTTCTTGTAGCATCCTTATTTGTAGCGAAAGCTCTCAGGATTTTAATGATGTATTTATGTTGATGTCCCAAATGTTGACATGAGCTGTTCTTCAAAACCAAAACAAGACCTTGACCTCATGTAATTCTTGGTTTTCAGCTCAATGCTGACATGAGGGTCTTGAATTTTTGTGTTAATTAGAGTATTAAATACCTAACGTTGGTATGTCTCTAACTGTGTATTATTTTAACTGCTGGAACCTGTGTAAAGAACTTGTGGAAGCAGACTGCAGTGTGTAGCAGTATGGTTTCATCTGGAAAAGTTTGTTTTAAGAAGAACTAAGCTCCTTGCTGTTTAACTGGTAAGAGGTGTAAGGGAATCCAAGTCTTCCAGTGTAAGAAGTAACTTATGAGCAAGATAATTTCATTCATCATTATCTACAAAAGATAAAATTTGTATGGCGTAACTCATAGCTTTACTAATCTATTTTAAAATTTAATTCTGTTGATTATTTCTTTGCATCTTCTCACATTTTCTTCCTTGAAAGAGTTCTTCTAAAGCTGTTCCTATGCTTGTTTATATTTAAATACTGATATTCCTTTTCTAATGACAGATAAGTAATGGAACTTCATCTGTGATTGTCTCAAGAAAAAGACCATCGGAAGGAAACTACGAAAAGGAAAAAGACTTGTGTATTAAATATTTTGACCAGTGGTCTGAATCAGATCAAGTTGAATTTGTGGAACACCTTATTTCACGAATGTGTCACTATCAGCATGGACATATTAACTCTTACTTGAAGCCCATGTTACAACGGGACTTCATCACTGCGTTACCAGGTAAATGATTAACTCATGGCTTTACTAATCTATTTTCAAATTCAATTCTGTTGATTATTTCTTTGCATCTTCTCACATTTTCTTCCTTGAAAGAGTTCTTCTAAAGCTGTTCCTATGCTTGTTTATATTTAAATACTGATATTCCTTTTCTAATGACAGATAAGTAATGGAACTTCATCTGTGATTGTCTCAAGAAAAAGACCATCGGAAGGAAACTACGAAAAGGAAAAAGACTTGTGTATTAAATATTTTGACCAGTGGTCTGAATCAGATCAAGTTGAATTTGTGGAACACCTTATTTCACGAATGTGTCACTATCAGCATGGACATATTAACTCTTACTTGAAGCCCATGTTACAACGGGACTTCATCACTGCGTTACCAGGTAAATGAATATTTATTTTACAAGAGGTGTGTTTATAAAAATGCTTTTTTGTTGTTTAATGCTTCGGGTCTATGCAAACTTTTGGAACATCCTCCAGATGTAGATTGTCTCATATGATTGAAGCGATGCTCCCCAGTCAGAAGGGGTGCAGGAGGGTGGCTGCAGTCATTCACTTCTGTGATTAATTGGATTGGCCACTGGATGCCAGTGTTGTTCCGTGTAAAAGGAGTTGGGAGTAGCGTCTCCTGAAGAATAGTTTGTGTTTAAATTGGAACTGAGTCGCTGTAAAAGTTGTGTCTCTGCAATCTCTGGTCTAAATTCCCTTTTCCTACAAACCCCATTAGGTGTAGAAAGAACTATAGAGGTGTTTTCATTTCTGAAGTCTTTCTTACCTCTTAGTTTTGTTCTAAGTTTCCCAAATCTTAACTAAAAAGCTGCCTGCTTAGGTGAGTGAAGTTAGTTTGTCTGGTCTTGTTGCTGACTGGAGTGAAGCAGTTGTGGATTTTTGTTGTAGACTCTAGCCATGATTCCCTCCTTCAGTTCCTCAGAAGCTCTTCTGCATTTAATCAGTGTAAACCTGTATCAATAATTCTAGTATGAAATCTGTTCTTACACTTGCTGTATGCATTTTTTCAAAAAAAGAAAATATGGACCAGTAATAACTGTATATATAGAATCTTTAACTTTCCATCTCCTGTTAAGTTGAATATATTTTTCCATTCATTTGTGGAAGGAGTTGCATCTGTGGATTTTTGCTGCTGGGGAGAATGATTCATTTGATTCGTTGAAAGGCGAATGTGTGGACCTTGTTTCCAGAGTGGGAAATAAGCACAAAATAAGTGTTCAAAGTGTTCTGGGGTATCACAGCGTGGATTCACCCCTGCAGGGAGTGAGTGCTCCGTGGATGTTATCCCAAGAATTCCAAGACATGGCAGAGAGTGCTGAGGGCGGAGGAGTGTCTGGGACAGAATGCTGCCTGCGTGTAACATGTTTCTATTCTCTATAGTGCTGCTGTATTTTCATCAAATCTGGAGGAATTCAGTTTTTGGAGGTGATGGGAGGATTTTGGCTCATCTGTCAAGCAGGGCTGAAACCAACTTAGTAGTTGGAGGGGAAAGAACACGGGGTAGGACATGGGAAGTGATACAGAATCTCATATGTGCTCTATTTTCTTAAAAAACAGGCTTAAAAATGTGAAAAAAGGGCTAGGAAAGGGAGGGGGAGTCCTTTCCCCCCACACCTCAGCTTCACAGAAGTTATTTTATGGAAGATTTAGCTTGTCTGGCCACACACCTGAAAATGTGCTCCTCGTTTTGACTGGAGAACTGTCTCCTTTAGGGTAGTGTGGATGTTTCTTCTAGCTTGTTTCCAAAATACTGAATTTTGATTCCTCTAGAGAGTATCAAGATAAAGTGAAATAGACAGTCACGGTCATTTTGTGCAAATGTGAGCCTCAATTATAATTTTTTGCTTGCTTTGTTTTATACCTCAGAGCTGATACCACGGGGGTATACAGTTCTTTCACAGTATGTATTTATTTCTAAGAAATTTTTGGGAGCCGCATAAGCTAGAGTTTATTTACACCACATTTGTATATATAAATACATATTTATATTTATATTTACAACTCTTGTTGCTTTTGAAGATGTAGATACTGGGAACTGTTCCTATACTCAAACTTTCTTAAAGGTAATGTGATATTTGAAGAACGTCTGTATAAATCTACCCCAAAACTTAATCAGAGTTGATCAAAATCAATACTGAGTTGGATGTCAAATAAAAAGATAGGAGTAAAGGACTTTTAAAAGGTAGTTTCACTTGTAGGTAATGTGATATTTGAAGAACGTCTGTATAAATCTACCCCAAAACTTAATCAGAGTTGATCAAAATCAATACTGAGTTGGATGTCAAATAAAAAGATAGGAGTAAAGGACTTTTAAAAGGTAGTTTCACTTGTCTTAAAGAAGTAAAATGTCTTTGTTTTAAATGGAAATAGTTTTTGCTTGCTCCTGTCCCTACTGATTTTACACCTGTGAAAATGCGGGGAAAAAGGGGAAAAGTTTGTTTTATCTGACTGCCCTTGGCTTTGGTGGAAAAAAGTGATAATTGGGGTGTGCTTTTCTGTCAGGGGTGGCAGAGCCCTCAGTCTGCGGGGGCTGTTCTTACAAGCTGGGCTGTGGTTGGGCTCTTCACTCCAAACCACCATCACGGTGTGTGAGCGGCCGTATCATAGAATCATAGAATTGCCTGGGTTGGAAGGGACCTTTCGGATCATCGAGTCCAACCATCAGTGGAACTCTCTCTGATAAAACCCATCACTAGACCATGTCTCTAAGCACTATGTCAACCTGGCTTTTGAACACCTCCAGGGATGGGGCCTCAACCACTGCCCTGGGCAGCCCATTCCAAGGCTTAAGAACCCTTTCCGTGGAAAAATTGTTCCTAATAGCCATCCTAAACCTCCCCTGGTGTAACTTGAGGCCACCTCCTTTTGTCCCATCCTGACCCCCCCTCTCTACACCCTCCTTTCAGGGAGTTGGAGAGAGCGAGAAGGTTTCCCCTCAGCCTCCTCTTCTCCAGGCTGAACACCCCCAGCTCCCTCAGCCTCTCCTCACAAGACTTGTGCTCCAGACCCCTCACCAGCTCCATTGCCCTTCTCTGGACACACTCCAGCACCTCAATGTCTTTTTTGTGGTGAGGGGCCCAAAACTGGACACAGTCCTCGAGGTGTGGCCTCACCAGTGCCCAGTCCAGGGTGACCATTACCCCCTGAGTCCTGCTGGCCACGCAGTTCCTGACACAGCCCAGGATGCTGGTGGCCTCCATGGCCACCTGGGCACACTGCTGGTTCCTGTTCAGCCAACAGTTGACCAACACCCCCAGGTCCTTTTCCCCAGGCAGCTCCAACCACTCTGCCCCAGCCTGGAGCCTCCATGGGGTTGGTGTGACCCAAGGGCAGGACCTGGCACTTGGCCTTGTTGAACCTCCCACCATTGGCCTTGGCCCATCCATCCAGCCTGTCCAGATCCCTCTGTATCTACTATAGCTTTATCAGATATTGCAAGTCCCATTGATAAGGTGGCTCAGAAGCCTCTACTCATTATTTTTTCCACATCCCCCGATGGTGTTACCTCAACCATGTCAAAAACTCTCAAAAGACAGCATAATTGCAAGAATAAATTGTGTCACCCCTGTCCTTTTGCTTGTCTTAATTATCTTTAAGATGTTAATCTTAATATTGCTTGCACGATCTCATCCAACTTGTGTCCTTTTCCTTAAAAGAATTAGGGTGTTGACCCTTGATTAGGAAAGAAAGTCCCTTCCCTATCTGTTTGGTGTGTTCAAACTGTAAGAGAACACAGCGTCAGGCAAGTAAAACCCTGCCAGGCTTCTTTTAAAACTTGTTTCTAAAATAATAAAAACCTGTGGAGCTGCGTGGTCGAAATGACTGTTCCGTGTCATATGTTAGTTTGATAGAGTTGACATCCCAAATTTGGGTTTCATTTTCATACAAAGTGATATTTACACCCTGAGCTTTGAAATCCCCGCAGATTTTAATTTGTTTTAATTTATTATTTAAATTCAGCCAAACCTTCATCTGGTACCTATAATCTGGTACCTATAATCAACCGCGGCCGTAACTTTTCACCATTTTCTATAAAATTGCAGAAGCCTCTTGTAGAGGCCCAAGAGTTGGAAGGAGTATTTTTCTTTGAAAAGTGTACCGATAAATGCTGGGTGCATTTTAATTAAATAAAATTGCTGGGTTTCAGTACCTATTTCAGACATTGTTTATAAACTAAATGCTCACTGTATTTTAATGTAAAATAGGTATATGCAGCTATTTCAGGCCTTAATATGGCTTCAACTTAGTCCGGTGTGTTGTCTGAAATAATTATAGTGGGCTCATCTAAGTATTTATGCTCTGGACCTGTTCCTGCTGTGTTAATTAGGCTGAATATTTTACTTGATGTCTCTTTTTTTTTTTTTTTTTTAACAATTGAAACCCGTGGGCTTTTGCGAGCAGTAAAAAATCTTCCGAAGGTATTTGGTGGCAAAGCAAAGCATTTGTGGCTTTGTGCTCAGTGGGCAACGTTCAGGGCTTTGTGTATTCCTAGAAAATGAGATTGCTGGGGTTTTTTAACATCAGAAAACACTTGAGTTTCTGACTCCTTCAAAGTCTGGTTTTAGCTGTGACCGGTGTTACACGGAATTGCCACAATTATGCATCCAATAAAAAGTTTCTGCTCAGTAATTGGCAGCTGATCCTTAAAACTCAGTGAGATATTGGCTTCATAATGAGCAGCCTGACACGTGTGCACAGGTATGTTCTCAGTTGTGTGGAGAAACACTTGGTCTGATAGTTCTGTAAAACATCCTTCTGCAGGTGGCAGTCAGGTCTGTATCTTCTCAAGAACATTCCTAACCTGTAGAAAACAAAAGTCACCTTAGGAACGAAGATTTCCCTTGTGCTTTGAGTTTATTTGGAGAGTTAAATCCCCTTGGGAATCACATTCTAGCCCTGTCTTTAATTCTTTAAAAGTATGAAATGGTGGGTTTTTTAAAAAATTAGATTTTCGGAAGGACATGGGTCTTAGCCTGATAGTTCTGAGTT